TGTGCAAAAGAGGCTGCCTTTCCTGGTCATTTGTGTGGCCTGCATTAAGCAGAGCACTCTGTGCTCCTACCGGCCCCAAAGGAAATGACTAGGCATACGTGTTACATCACTTATGTAGGATTAGCTAGGATTTTTGGCATGGGTTGTGATTCTTGTAGTTGCACATGTCTCATTGCGGGGGAACTGGGATATTAAAAAAAATGATACACTTTAAGGAAAGATCTGCACACAGGACTGTAAAGTGACGGTGGCTTCATGAAGATCTGTGGTTGTTGTATGAAGAGAGCAGGTATTCTTGCTGGTGATGTTCCCATCTGATTCTTCTTCTTTCTATTTTCACAGTTGTTCAAAATTGGAAGACTTGCCAGCAGAGCAGTGGAACCATGCCACAGTCCGCAATGCCTTAAAAGAGCTGCTTAAAGAGATGAATCAGAGCACATTAGCCAAAGAATGCCCTCTCTCACAGGTGAGTGCTTCTGCCTGTACTAGAGTAGCCAGCCTGATAAAATCCAAAGCCAATAACTGTTTAGCAAGGTGTTCACAAGAGAATATTTCAGAAATCTTTAATCAGTTTTTGTTTTAATAAGAAAGGAGAAATTCCAACCCATCTGGGAAAATATCTCTTTACACTTTAGTTGTGGTGCACACATTGTGATGTAGTGTTGGAAAGAGATCAACTGGTGTGTTCCCTCAACTTCATAGGGACGCCAAATTCTCCGTATATAACCTCTCCAAATTTTGGTCTACCTCTCCATACACTGAATTGCAACAGACACTAATCCTCACTGGTAGAAGCCTTCAGTGTACTTTAGAAATGCACACAGTTTTCATCCATCTCTGATTAAAAGGAAATGTATACAACTTCTATCAGTGGGGTGCCAGTTTCTAGAAAAATACAACAACAATGTGTGTGTGTGTGTGTGTGTGTGTGTGTGTGTGTGTGTGTGTGTGTGTATACATAGAGAAGGAGTGAGAGAAGATTCACACAGACTCACCATGCAATACAATTTTGTCACTTCTGAGGACATAACCATAGGTCAGACTCCTAATGAAACTGAACTTTAGTTCAAGTTTCTGACATGAAGACTTGTATGAATTTGGCAAAATTAGCTGAGCACCAGCAAAAAGCCTACATCCAGTGATTCATATTACCAGACAAAAAAACTTCCATTAGAACAGCGATAGAGCTGTTATTATATTGCTTAATATTGTCTTTTAAAAACATGAAAAATGTCTTTTTATAGTTATTCCCCACCCCCAGTAACCAAACAGCCCTTAAATGCTAACAACTCAGTTCATTTTCAAGTACCAATTTGAATATTGTCCTACTGTTGTTGCCTGCCTTCAACTTGTAGATTAGAGACACTTGTTTGTTTTGCTTAGCTATACACATTCTAACATGAGGGTGTTCTGGTGTGTGGTAGAATGATCTAACACACATCAACTTCTGCATTTTATCAGTTTTGCTAGTTTATAAATTAAAAGATATGGTTTTTAGCTACAAGCATCACAAACTCCTGATCGCCATATTTGGGGTCGGGAAGGAATTTTCCTCCAGGGTAGAATGGCAGAGACCCTGGAGGCTTTTCGCCTTCCTCTGTAGCATGGGGTACAGATCACAGCTGGAGGATTCTCTGCATCTTGGGGTCTTCAAAGTATTTGAAGGCTTCAATATCTGAGATATAGGTGAGAGGATTATTCTAGGAGGGGTGGGTGAGATTCTGTGGCCTGCACTGTGCAGGGGGTCAGACTAGATGATCATAATGGTCCCTTCTGACCTTAAAGTCTATGAGTAACTCAACCTAGGACTCACAAATCAAAGATCTTTGCTGATCATACATCACAACCAGGCCTCCATTAGATCTGTGCCATCCCATAAAGATCATAGCAGGACTCAGGTGTAATACAGGGTAGAGTTAGGTTCTGCAGTTAATATTGTCTAGTATAGAATCTTTCTCAGTTTACCATAGCTGCAGAGCTAACAGAAATAGAAAATAAGTGTAATCCGCAGGGAGTGGATGTGTTGAATAAGGTGATATTTTCAAAGACTAGAACAACACTTTAAGTTTAAGCCCTTAAATATAGAATGCAAATATATACTGCAAAAGGAGAAATCTGATTGACTGATGAGGGTTCCAGTATGTTGGCTGGGACTCTTTGGCTAATGGAAACAAAATCTGTGCATAAAAATTACATTTCAAGAAGTGAGAGAACTGCAAAGCTCAGGTGGAGAAAGAGAACTGGTGGTCTTCAGTCTTGTGTGTCCCAGTGCACCTGAGCGGTACCAGTATCCAGTGTAACTGAATGGTGATCCATCTCAAGCGGTGGCATTAAGTCATTGTTTAGGGATGTTTTCCATCACTTTTAAAGACTTCCATATGGGAATATGGGAGTTGGCTTATCCCTCTATTTTATAAACTCATCCTAACATATATTGGTAAGATCATTGATGACAGAACTGTAGGAGAGATGTAAAAGATATAGTGGGAGATTGTAGAAACTGTCTGCTGCTATCTGGATTTTTCTTTCATACAATTCCTTCTCCCAAATCAGTTTTTAAAAAAATATTGCACCAATTGTGAAATGTCATTACAATCCCCTTGTGGTTAATATATTGTTGACAGCAGCAGATTACAGAGCTGTCTCTTCTAAGTCAAACTGTCGAGTAAATGCTGCTGTTTGTTAATGTGCTCACAGCGCATCAAGTTTTCCTTTGTACAAAAGTGGAAAAGAGGCAGCATAGGGAACTTTCTTTTTTTCCCCACCAGTGACCATGCTCTGTCTCTTGGTACATTAGCTCTTCTTGAAGCCCAGATGGAGATTCTGATTGCCACTAATGGGCAGTGTAATCATTTGCTTTGATTTGCACTTGTTCTGTTTTTTCTGCTTAGGTATATTAGGCATTTGCAGCTTAGCCACCCTTCGCATAAGGCTGCTGTTCCAATAAACAAATCCCAGTTAACTATGGTGGAGGAACTGGGGTGAGGGGAAAGGAAATCCAATTATTTCAGAACTTGCATCTTAGCGTGGAGACTTCTGTCTTCCAAGTGTATTGTACGAATCATTCCAACATTGTTCATGTATTTTGCATACTGGTATAAACTCATTTCCTTGTTGTGGGTTGGTGGTTTTTGTTTTCATCCCACAGCGTTCTCCTTTTTTTTGTTAACTTATGGCATTATATCTTGTGTATATGAATCCTCTGCTAGTTCTAGTGTACGTATGAGGTGAATGCCAGTTTTCTTTCCTCATGGGTGTGATGGAGTTGGCCACCTACCAATATAGCATATCTGCTACTTTGTCTAATCTTTTATCAGCTTTTACAATATTTTTCTAGGGCAAATGGTCATTAACCCAGGCATTGTGTTAGGAAGTTCATAACTACAGCAATGGGTTTGCTTGTCAAGTTATTGCTGACCAGTTACTTTCTTTCTGGAGCTTATCAAGATTCCTATGGGAACTATACCTCTGATTCTGTAACTCTAAATTTAATGGAAAAGAAAGTTACGGATTTATCCCTCATCTTTGCTTAGTGGCAAGCGGAAGAAGACGGTCTGTTTTGGGATTTTTACCAACATTGTTTATGCTATTTTACTAGACTTTTCCTTCCCCAACAGGAAATAGGAGAGGGGAATTTCTACTCTTTTTCTTCCTTAGAACCACTACAATAAATGCCCATTTATTATAGAACCGTGAGAGCTCAAAGAAAAACCTCCTGGAAAAATGAGCTCTCTAGTACTGTCTTTTATGAACAAACTTTTCCATGCTCCCCAGGCTAAGGAAACATAACTCCGGGTACTTTTAAAACTGTGAATTATACCTGCTCCAGTTTTGTTCTGGAGCGTCTTCGAATTGATGTTTTCACTCTGTTATGCCTTAAAAACAGGGTCATTTTGTTCCTCGGGGCATACTTCAGAACAAGCAAGAGGTGAAAGGGAAGGAGGTTCTAGAATTAGGTTTAAACTATGAATTTTTATTAGAAAATTGAAACTGAGCTGGTGATTAGAGTGGCCGTTTTTAAAAAACATTCTACAGCCACGAGTTGTCTTAGCGTGTTCCCAGTAAAAATGTGAAAGTGAAAGGGAAGAGGAAACTGTTCGTTGAAAGCGAATTAATTCCTCAAAATCTGAAACTAATTTGTGCGCCCTCCAATCTACCCAAAGAAAATTCTTCTCTGCCTCCTTAACACCCCAGAATTCCAGGGGTCAGGAAAACTAGAGTCTTTTGAGGTTGCAACAGACTGGGCTGAATAAATGCAGAACTGATCCTGAATAGAATTGTTTTTTTAAGCACTGTAAAAGAGGAATAAGCCAAAAGAGAACCTAGTTAGTAGTTTAAAAACTATGGATAAGACCCATTTTACTTATTAGCCTAGAAGCACCTGTGTCCTATAGTTGGAACTATTGGTAAATAGCTTGCAATTGCTTTGTGGTTATTATCACTCTGGAATCTGTGCTACTATGCAGAAGTGTCATAACAGGTGCCAACATGTCTCGGAACTCTTTGGACCTAAAAAGTGTGATTTCCAAAAAGGGTGCATTGGCTCATATACCTTGTTTAGCTTTTCAGACTTTAGCATGAATGTATGTAGATCTAAGCATCTTTGCATAAATGTACATATACACATAATGGACTGATGCAGCTCTGGAAGAGTTTAAAAGTTATTAACGATTATTTACTCTATAAAATTGAGAACTAGCCATAACAAAACTATTTTTCCACCATATGGCCCCAAATGCCCCAAACGTAAAATAATTTCGTGTGCATTGGGTGCTGCAGAACTACTCTACCTGCTGTCTTCTTCTAGTTGTTTTGTACCAGTCCTTGCTCAGAAGATACCTGCAAAGGGTAGTATGTGAATAGTGGTGAAGCACTTTGAATCTTTCAGCTGTACCATGTTTTGTTGTGGCTCTTGGTTGATTTGGAACTGTACTGTGTTTTATTTAATCTGCTCTGAATAGCACTTAATTTTTCTGTTGAGTGATTTTTCACACAACGGCAAATTGCACGTTTCGATAAATTATATTAATTTAACTTATTTGCCTAACTGTTGTTCTGCAGCGAGTAGCACGGATGTTCTCCAGTTCTTGGCTGTGTGGTCTTGTTGCAGTTGGAAGCCGAACAGAAGCATCTGAAAAGCATGATTTGGATTGTGCATGCTAATCTTACCTTTCGTTATCTGGTTCCTAAATCACAGTTATTCTAACTCCTTGTGTCTAATGTGTTTTTCCCCCAACAGGACACTGTCTGTAGTTATGTGTTTAATATGAAGATTCTATGACATCACAAATATAAATTAAAGTGACAAGTCAGTGGGAGCTGGAGACAGGAGTCTTGGTTCACACAGCATCTTTTTTGCATTATTAGTGAACACAGAGCAGTCATGTCTGGGGATGTAAAGTGGGAAATACTGCCAATTTTGAGTCCTTAACAGGGACTGTGTTAGCTTCTGGATACACAAATGGATGATCAATGAGAGCTTGCATGCCATTGATTTTTCTCTGGAAAAGAATTTAAATTTTTTTTTAAACACACTTTCTGTTTCCTTCTACTTCTAGAGTATGATTTCATCCATTGTAAATAGCACATACTATGCCAATGTGTCAGCAACCAAATGCCAGGAGTTTGGGAGATGGTATAAAAAGTACAAGAAGATTAAAGGTAAATTAACTTCATTGGTTTGGAAATGAACAATAACTGAACTGTGTTCTACTGTTTGAAATTTTGTTTTAAAAGTACAGTGATAATAAGCCTTAATAATATTAGTGAATTTTTGTGCAAAGAGGGCACACTGGAAATTAAATCCAATGAATTATGAATAAGGGAACTGTGAAAAAAATACTTATAAAGAAAATGTGCTTGTTACGTCGCATTTCAGATGGTAATTGCATTGAAATGATCAACCATGTATGTAACAAACATAAAACATCTCAGAAAAGAAAGTTATAGAAGATCTGGATTGAAAAGTTAAATTGCCATGTAAATCACCTTCATGATAAAACCCTGTCTTCCTAAGTTAAATGTGTCCTTGCTTTCTGTTTAAATACAGTTAAGTGTATTGGCATTCGTGCCACGTCACATCATCTGGAATTTAGGTAGCAGCAGTTCATCTGAGATCAGATTGCTTGGCGGTACTGCGCTGAATTCATCCCAACCATTCCCACTTGTACCAAGCTGAAATGCCCCATTATTTTTATTATATGAAATGGAATTATGTTAGTGGGCGAAATACTAATGTCTCATACAGGAACATTATTCTTTGTAGGTTCTTATAATGCCCTCAGTGTCATAATGTCTGAGCATCTTCCAACAGTGACATTACTAACATCTGTCATATGTAATTCATTCTTTCTCTCATCCTTTCCTTGGGGGAGAATTGGGTGTACACTGCATTGTTTTGTTTTGGTAGAGTTTTGTTTTCAATACATATGCTGCTGTATATTTGTATTAGACAAAATACGGCTGAAGAAGTGTGCCTTGTATTTCAAGGGGAGAGGAGGCAGTGAGGTTTGTGATGGTTCTTTGCTCTGCAGTATCAGACTGCCCCTGAGCATGCTGTCTGCACAGATGAGATTTACCCTTATGATAGAAAGTTCTATTTTGCCTGAACAGTGGAGTTGGTGACCAGATTCTTCATCTCCAAACTTGAGTCTCTTTTAGATGTGCTGGGTCCAAGCTGTTGAGCACAAGGGCTTGATATTATTTGGGAAGCCAGTGGAGAGAGCAGAGGACAGGTTTGATATGCTCGTGATAGCCTGAGGTTGCTAAGAAGATGTATTGCAGTGTTTTGTTATAGTTGGAATTTCCTAAGAAGTGATGGCTTCCAGCCCTGGTATATCACGTTATTTTAGTCCGTATGGTGAGTGACAAAGGCATGTATAACCAAGGCCAGGTCATCATCTGTCAGGATGCATTGGAATCTTCTAGCCAACTAGAGAAAAACACTGGCATGTGAGAATTCAACATTGGCAAAGAATCCAAGAATACTCTTTAACAGCAGGCTGAATTGACCAATTGTGGGTGTGTGTCATCAGCTAAAGAAACTGTTGTGTTGCTGCAAACTCTTCAAAATGCCCACCAGCATATCTCTCTTTTTTTTTTTTGCCTGGGTTCAGCTCTAACCAACTGCTCTTCATCCACCAGATGACCTCATTCAAGAACTGGGCCATCTTGGTGGTATGTAACGAGAAATTTTTAAATTAGAAGTAATCTTGACAAGTACAGGCTGGTAAGACTAATTTCAGTACAAGGCAAATTGCTGGAAACTGTAGTAAAGAGTAGATAAACACAGAGATAAACACAATATGTTGGGAAGAATCAATGTGGCTTTTGTAAAGGAAAATCATGATAACTAATCTATTATAATTCTTTTGAGGGTGTCTCTAAGCACGTGGACAAGTGTGATTCAGTTAATATAGTTTACCTGGATTTTCAGAAGTCTTCTAGCTCTCCCTCGATAGGCTCTGAAGCAAAGTAATCAGTGATAGGATAAGAGGGAAAGTGCTCTCATGAATCAATAATCAAGTTAAAAGACAAGAAGCAAAGGCTAGGAATAAACGGTCAGTTTTCAGAATGGAGAAAGGTAACTAATGGGATCCTCTGAGGATCTGTATTGGATGTTGTGCTGTTCAACAGTTGATAAATGGTCTGGAAAAAGGGGTGAATAGTGAAGTGGAAAAGTTTGCAGACAATAAAAAATTACCAAATTAAAAAATTACAATCGGAGACTATTCCGTGTATTCATGGGTGTCTCCTGATCTGGCCGGAACGGGCGGGGGGGAGAGCATCAGGGAACTCACTGTGGCTCTCAACCCCCCACAGCAAGTTCCTTGCAATTGCAAGGAGTTTGAGAGCCACAGCTCTCAGTATTTGTGGATTTTGCCATTTGCGCTGGAGCGGTGGGGAAGGGATAGGTAAAAAGACAGCAAATATTATAGGATTGCTATATAAATCAATGTATGCCCACATGTTGAATATTGCATGCACTTCTGATTGCCCCATCTCAAAAAAGATACATTAGAATCGGAAAAGATATAGAAGACAACACAAATGATTAGGGGTATGGAACAGCTTCTGTATGAGGAGAGCTTAAAAAGACCGGTCAGCTTAGAAAAGATATAACTAAGGGGGAATATGTTAGAGGTGTGTAAAATCATGAATGGTGTGGAGAAAGTGAATAGGGAAGTGTTATTTACACCTTAACAAAACACAAAAACTAGGGGTTAGCCAATAAAATGATTAAGCTGTTGGTTTAAACAAACATATGTAAATACTTCTTCACATGCTACTCAGTCAGCCCGTGGAACTTGTTGCTGGGAGTGCTGAGCAAACCAAAAATATAATTGGATTCACAAAAGAATTAGTTAAGTTGATAGAGATTAGGTCCATCAATGGCTATTAGCCAAGATGGTCTGGGATTCATCTGGTGTTCCTGAACGTTTAACTGCCAGAGGCTGGGAGGAAACCACAAGGGTTGGAATACTTGATGGACCATGTTCTTTTCATTCCTTCTGAAGCGTCTGGCCTTGGTTGCTGTCAGGAGACACAATATGTGGTTTGATGGACCATTAGTCTGATGGCCAGTGCACTGGGTTCATATTTCATGTTGGAAAGGGAAAGCTATAAGTTGTTACATATTTCTGGCATTTAAGTCTGTGTTATCTGGTTATTTAACCTGCTGGCTGTAGGTAGAAGTTGAAAAGGAATGGAGAGAGAATTGATCCTCGTGGGATCTAGGGGTGGAAGCATAGTTTCCTATCAGTACAGTTTGGATGTGTCCTTCCAAGAAGGACTTAACACATTTTAGCACATTCCCATGATCTCTGCCATCTCTCTCAGGTGAGAGAGCAGTATCTCATAGTTAGCATGTCACAATATTGCAGACAGGTCAAAGAAGGTGAGAATTGATGTCTGGTCATCATCTATTTATTGCAGGAGATCATCCATTGGTGGCAGTAAAGCTGTTCTGAGCATGGCCTGATCTGAATTCCGATTTGGAGACTGGGATATTGGTTTAAATTACATGTTTGTTATTGACTGGTGGCTAGATTCTTTGTGAGCTTTCTCAACAACAGCAGGTTTGATACTGATCCATAGTAGGCTCAAACTGATGTCAAAGAGGGAGGGTTTCTTCCGCACCAGTCTCTGAAAGGGAAGATTCCTTCCCAGAATTGGAGTGTCGTGGGCATTTCAGGCATGCCTTGCACCAGAGGCAGAAGCGTCTCTTTCCTCATCCAGTGTCAGATTCACAAGTCTTGGGTCAGGACTCAATTATGGTCATTCTAACTTCTTGAAGAGGGACTATTCCACAGACCCACATAGTCATGAAACTCAGATCTTCAAAAATGTGTATGTGGTTTTTTGCTCTTAAAAAAAGTAGAGCATGGGAGATGTGGAAGGCTGCTCATTAATTCCTTTAAGGGAAAATAGGATCCCGTCAAAAGTCATGTACTAAGGAAGCTTCTTTTAGATTGGGGAATATTTGCATCTTTCATAAGATATTAGGGCAAACATTGAGGAAGCTCCAGTCCCTTTGCTTTGACGTGGCTGTTTCCCATTAGCTGTTGTGTGGGTCATAGGCAGTAAGTTACAGGGGCCTGTGGTGCCCATGCGCCACCAATATTCAGAGCACGGGGGAACAATTCCACCAATGTTTGGGGCAGGGGGAGAGGCCTTGTCCGCTGCTCACATGCACCTCCCCCCGAGTGTCCTTGTGCCATGGGTCGGAGCTGGCTGCTGCTGTCCAGCCCCCTCTATTGGTTGGGGCTGCATGCTCCTCTCCAAGCAGTAAGTTTAGTCCCCCCCGGCATCAGAGGAGCTGCAGGGCAGCTATAGCTGACTCAACCTGCTCTGGGGAAAAGCTGCAGCATCTCTTGATTCAAAGACACCTTTGATATGCCCCATACAGGTGGCTGAGACAGTGGTATTTGCTATTCCAAGTTGGGTCAGCATGGCTATTCCAGTTTCAGCCACCTTGGTACCGCAAGGGGCAAATTAAAAGTGCCTTTGAATCAAGAGATGCTTTTCCCCAGAACAGACAGAGCTATCACAGCAGTGGCTGAGACCCTGGGGACCTTTTAAATCACCCAGGCCCCTAGGCAATTGCCCTCTATGCTCTCCCCCTATCACTGGGTCTGGCCTGTGAGGAGAGGGCTGTGGCGGAGGTAGTCTTCCTCTAGGCTCAGCCCTGGGGCAATCTGTCTGCACCCCAAGCTACTCAACCCCAGCCCCACTGCAAAGCCCTCACTCCCATTGTGAAATATAGGCAAACTAACAGCTTACTGTTATATCGCTTACCTGTCCGGTGGGGGAGAGGGGGTGGAACCTGCCTGTTCTGCCAAAAATCATACAAATTCATGGTGTGGGTTACATGTGTATGGAAGATACTGACATATGGGAGATACAGCTAAAAAAATCAGAGCTCTGTAGTATGCAGCAGTTATATTTGCCCTAGCAAGACAGTTTATGTTTTAGGATAAAAATATCTGTGGAGGAAATTAAAATACCTGAGGTAAAAGTGTATAAATTAAGTACATAAGAGAATTAAGATTCACTTCTTCTCCTGTTGTAAAATTACACAGGGATTCTCACAAATTTTCATTTAGACACTGTCATTAATATTTACCACTGTGCAGGTGAATTGAATAGTTCCTTCTCACTTT